GAGGGGAGCGTCTTTGTGATGCTGCCCTGGAACCTGGGCTGCTAAATTCTTCCTTTTTCAGAATTCCGACAGCTCACTGATTTATCAAGGTTTTCAGGAGACCACAAATCACACGAAATAGCCTGAGCTTGTGGGAGTCCCGTTTCTTTCGTTTGGAATCTGACAAGGCAACTCATGAGATCGGCTGTAAGTTTAACTCCAGATCAGGCCACGTTTTGCATAACGCCAAACAGTAGTCTGTGAAAATTAGGCAACATGGGGTAGAGGCTGGGTTTTTAGAGCTGAAGCTGGGCTATTGCTGCTTTTCATCAATACAGGGAAAACAAGAGAGTTCATATTTTGTCCATTTGAAGTACTAAGCACTGCTTGAGAGTGTAGGAGCTAATTTGGTATTAGTATAAAGTAGTATAAAGTGGTTTTGGTGGCAAATTTTTGACCATCTCTCTGTTGCTGACTAGGGCAGAGAGGTGAGAGCAGTTAGAGCAGCTAGGGGAGATTTCAGATAATGAGCCAAATCCTGATAATCCACAGTTCTAGTTTTGCCAATCTTATAATTAATTTTGCTATCTCTTTGCAGTGGGTGATGCCCTGGATGGATAGCTTAACTGATAAACATGGGTGACAGATTTTCAAGTGGCTCTTGCCCATCCGTAGTAGAATTTTATCTTGTTGATCAAATACAAATTTCTTTCAGGCTCTTCCAGGAGATTTGGAGACAAGTGCTGAAACTGCTCCACCACTCTCGAACTCTGGTATTTCTGACTGTGTTCTTCTGCTGACTGAGGGTGGTGCTGAAGACTTTAATAGTGAACTCTTGCTTTTTAAAGAACAGTCAGTCCCAAATTACCTGGTATCTTCTCTTCAATATATCCCGTTCTATAGGACATCTGAAGTCTTCATCAGCCCTCACTCCCTTATCGCATCGAACATCAGCACAGAAACAGAAGAAAGCTTTGATGATAGCCAAGTTAACGCTAAACAAGATGAGAACTTGAACAATTCAGCTCTCTCCACAGGATATTTTCCATATTACAGATCGTATGAAGAGCCACTTGGCAAGCCACTTGCATATAACTTAAATGTGAATGCAGAGGGAAAACAGCCTGGCACCAACAGGAAAGACAGAAGGCAAGGCAGATGTGCCCAGGCTGTTAGAAATGTTGAGAAAGTAAGTTGCAAGGGACACTGCTCCCCACAATGTCACAGGCTCAGCGTTAGGGCCAGGACCCTCCCGAGCAGTGTGGGGCTAAGGTGTCTCCTGGCAATAGTCAGCAGGAGAAGCGCAAGGGGAGCACCAGCAGTGAACCCAAACCTTACGGGCCACACGGCATCTCTGCTTCCCAAGGACCCTTGCTGGCCTTTCCGGTGGATTCGGTATTACAACTGAGTTAGACTTGGAGACGTGCCTTGCCTGAGTATTGCTATTGCATTTTTTTAGTCAAGGCCGTGCATACATAGAGCACGCGCAACTAGTGTTTATGCACAAACATGTACTTTCAGGGCAAGAAGAGAGAAAAACTGTGAAAAAGCGAAATAAACCAAGGGTGAGTGTGAGAGCCATTGCAGCTGCCTTTGGGTGTGCGCGGTGCAGACGTCCCTGACCCAGCAAGGCACTCTTGGCTCCCTAACCTCTGTGGGTGGGCAGGGACTATGCCAGTGTCATTCTAAGGATGATCATGAGATCATCTGCAGGTAAATATAGGTCACGCGAGTTTCCTATTACTTCCCACAGACTATTAAAAAGTCTAAACAGCTAAATTGGGTATAAATACCTGTACTGTGAGATAGGTGAGGTGAAACCTACTTTTAATGTTTTTTGGAAGGAAGGAAGAGAGCTGAGCACACTTCACACCATACTGTTCCTACTATTCCCCAGAATTAGGCTCTTAGCTCAAACAAAATAATGAACTGTGCTCTGAAAGGGTATTGCAGGAGTACAGCTATCTGAAAAGGAGAAGACCCTGAAGACGGTCCTGGGAAGGCCTCTGTCCCAGCAAACCCATGAAGCACCCCCAGGGACTCCTGCTTTGTGCTGGCAGTATTTGCCAATGAGAAATTGCCCGGTTTCTGTATGGCAGCCAAAGGTAGTGCGGTGTCCCGTGGCCCTTCCCCTTGGCAAAAGTGGGAAAATCCATGCAGGACTTTCCACGGCACCTCAGCAGACCCCAACAGTTGGACGAAGCCCTTTATAACTGCACCCCCCCCCCTTCTGACTCAGAAAATCCTTATGGATGCATTTGCTAGCATTACCACTGAACAGATCATATTCACCCCTCCTCAAAGGCAGCAAAACCCTCCTGATCTTTCTAACATATCGTACCTGCTTTTTGTGTGTTTGAGACCTTAGCTCTTGGTCTTGTACATGTTTCTTTCAGACCGTTCCACCAAGTTTGGAGCCAGACAAGAGGGTAGTTTCCTCCAATGCTGAGCCATCTGCCCACCCACTGCTACTGGAGAGCATCTCAGAAAACTGCGCTTCAAAGACCGCCTTTCTCAATGAACTGCCAAGCCTAGGTCAGCCCTTTTCTTCCACTGGGTACTTTCCCTATTACAGGACATGTGGAGACCTCCACACCAGTCCAGCTCCTTGTGATAGGTTCTTCACCAGGATAGAAATTTTGGGGGATGAAGAGGGAGGAGGAGAGGGAGAAACAAGTGTTTGGAATTTCAATACCAGCTGCTCAGCATGCTGAGAACGAGACAGGAAGTTTGTCTTTGTTGGAAAAGGATAGATTGATTCAGCACAGGAGTGAACAAGAAACTCTTGAGAACTACAACAATGACAGGGAAATCTGCATGAATCTGAAAGAAAAATACTCCTCCCTTCAAAGCAACAAGAGCAAACCTAGACTGTGTAATGACAGCTAAGGGACACAGGCAGACAAATGCCTGATTTGGGGGAAACCAGATCAACTTGTTCTAGAAAACATCCAGAAGGAGGAGAGTGAAGACCAGGTCTATGCTTTTCTGCAGCTGATCCCAAAGAGTAGACACTTACTTCAGAATTTCCTCCCTACTAAGACTAGAACCATAATCAAGGGTCCCGGTATGTTTTATATCAGCGTCAGCCATCCACTTAGCACATTATTCCCGATGTTGGACACTGAGTACCCTAATCTCCCTGAAGCACCCAGTTCCTGAAAAGCAGATTGGGATACAAAGATGTATTTTATAAAAAAGCACTCAGGACTGGGTGACAGGGTAGGTCACAGGACCTGGCAGCAGGTGATGAACAAATACCTGTGTTTACAAAGATGAAAGAAAGTAAATCCACCTATAAGTCATCAAAATCATCAACAAATGGAAGATGTCCTTTTTATCTTTTTGTGACTGGAAATGTATATGTTTAGCTTCTCCACGAAAAGACCCTTTCATTAGCATGGACTTTACCTTTGCCAGGCCTTGTGGAGGTGTGTTCGTGGGAACGCTTGACAACTGATGACAAGAGTGAAATGATAGTGGCAGCACACAAGGGAGATGGCCAACAGGAAAAATAAGAATTGTTTGAATCTTAGCTGCTTGGAGGAATTAAGCAGAGACATAATTTCCAGTAATGATTGGGAAATACATTTCCTCTCCCCTCCACTACAATCCTTCCATTGTATTAATGGCATCTGTTAGACCTTGTTCTCTTGCTCATACAGAGGAGAAAGAAAACAGTTTTATTTAAAATCTTTGTAAAGAAAATTTTTTCAACACATTTTCATTATTTCTGTCTTCTTTTCACTTGTACATTCAGTTATGAAAGTGCTCATGATTACTTTAACATGTGTAACTATGGACTTCTGTGAAACATCAGTTTTGACTATAGAAGACAACAGAATCCAAGAGCAACTTGACTTTGGTGAAGCTTCACTGATTTACACCAGATGAGGATCTGACCAAAAAGGCCAACTCAGAGTTTTCTTTGCAATTGTGCAATGCTGTGACATTCTCGCCTTCCTGCCAAACATATCACCTCTTTGAGACACCACACAAGTTGACGAAACACGTCTTTTTCCCCTTAGTGCTATGTGAGTAGTCACTTTGTATTGAAAATAGATGCATTTATTCCAAACTGGTGCATCTTTTCAGTGCTTCTTTAATCATTATATATGAGTACTGATATATAACAATACTATATAACGATATCCTTCCCTCCTTAGAGAGCAGTCTGCAGTTGAATGTGGCCATGCTGCTAGTTTTCCCTTAGCATTCGGGGAAGCAAACCATATCATTTTTACTTATTTCCTATCTCCATAGTTGGACCAGTTTTCTCTGTAGATCTAGTAAGCGTGGCACTGAGATTGGGAAGACCTCAGCTCTGTCAACCGATTTGGAGAATACTTTCCTGCTCATCCCACACCTAAGCGTTTTTGGCAGGCAGTGAAGGGCTTTTGGCTGGATGCCAGCAAGGCCCCCCGGTAGGACATGCTGTGCACCAGCCTGTTGTGGGACCGCAGCTTCAACCCCGGTCTTTCTGCCCTGAACTGCTCAGTATAAAGCCATGCACCCACCAGGGCAGTGGCTGCCTACGTCCCACAGCAGACAGGCATTGGATTCTCTTTCAGGAAACCTGAGGTCAGCCAGACCTGGAAAAACACGTGCCTGGGACAAGCAAAATCTGGCGACCGCTGTACGCGGTCATGACAACATTCTTCTAGAGCTTTGTCTTTTTTAGTCACCATCTTCTCACTAATAAACAGGAAGAACTAGATTCTCGTTGAACTGAGCCAGGCCATGTGAAATAGCTTCGATATGTAAGCGTTAAGGTTTGCACATTGGGCACTTGGAAAGAAAGCCATGCAAAATGTCGTGGGATTATCTCAATTCTAGGGATCAGGCAGAGGAGGGAGGGAATTCTGCCTGAAAATCAGGTGTGATTTGTTCTGAGAATATTAAATTCAGCATTTCAATAAATGTGGCGTATTAAAAAAGTCTAAACTATGTAATAGTAGCTCTGCAAATCTGCCTTCCTTCCGCTAGATAGATTCAAAATTAGCTGCTTTGTATTGGTGGCACTATATAATTTATGGGAACAATGAACATAAGAATTCAAGGATTTGGGAGATTAGAATATTACAAGCTTTACCCTTCTGGATCAGAAAAGCCTAATTTTAAGCAAAAGCCACCAAATAGCATATCACATGTTGCCATCTGGAAACTGGAGCTTAACTAAGCTCATGAATTTGATATATTTTCCATACAGCTTTGCTCAGAGGTGGAAAGGAAAGGAAAGGAAAGGACGGAGAGCAGCGTTGGAAGTTTTTGTGTTTCTCTCTAAGGCTTATGTTGTTTTATTACTTTTCCACATAGTTAACATCCTGCACACAGAGAGCAAATGATTTTTCTCAAACTGCTCCATGGATCAGATTGCTACCTTAGAGAGGACATCATGTAGCTCTTTACACCAAGGAAGGTCCTGTTCAGCTGGAAATAACAAACATGTGCTTTCAGCCACGGGTACTGATAATGTATCTATCTCCTTTCATCTCTCTATTTGAAAAATTCATTATTGCTCTAAACCCTCAGTATTCCAATATTACTTTTCCTCTGGAGTTTGAAAAACAATCTGCAATTACTTTGATGCGCACTGTGTAGTCTTCATTGATCCCATTTAAGCTTTTAATCTCATGAATCCGCAAAGTTAATTCATAAAGCAAACCAAAACAAACCACAACAAAATATGCCCTTTAATAACAACAGTGGTGATGATCACAGCCGTCTTTGGGGATTTATTATCATGCAGGTCCTTCTTTCTCAGTGACTAACGTTAGACTTTATTTAGAAAGGAGGGAAAAGGGCATTGTCACAATATTTGTTAATCTGCATACCCCTAGGGAAAAACCTATTTCAAAGCCAATAAAAAGGTTCACATAGACTTCACTAGACATGGAATATGTCTCTGAAATCTCTGAAAGAGAGACCTTTACTATTAAAGCTTCAGACCTTAAAAGCCTCACCCAAAACGTCCCAAAATCATAAGAAAACTCCCTCAGCTTCGGCGGGTTTTGGCTCGGGCCCCCGGTTTCCCAAAGCAGCACACTGAAGCTGTCGCTCTCCGTAAACGTGGCCTCCACCAGACGTGTTCTCCGGGAGCCAACTTGCTCGGAGCTGTTTGCCCGCGCTGGCGGGACACGCCGCCCTCAGCACCAGCATTTGCTGACCTCTCTTCCCTCTCCAAAACCCTGATTACGTCTGCATATATGACTTAATAACTTTACTTTGAACTCTGCTAGAAACTAAGCTTTTGGCAAGTGGCACTTATCACAGAGGAGCAGAACCCAGCATTAAACAGAGAGGCTTAAGCAGGTTCCTTCGCAGCGCAGTAAATACGGAGAAATGGAAGTGACTCGTTAATACGAAATCACTTGGCTTCCATTCAGAACCTTGCTTACAGGGAATGATTAAAAAAACCCTGGAAGTGGTGGAGAAGTATATGCATCCCATACAAATACCAGCACATGGATGGGTAAACCCACATATTGTGGGAGCAATGTAGTCCTCCTGCTGGGATCCTTATTCTAGTCTTTGTTTTGCCAGTGCAGTTTAGGAATCACAGCAGATATGTTTTACTGCCCAGAGACAGCTTTAACTCCTTTATGTGCATGAGGGCTGTGCTGAATGCTGATAACCGCTAGGAAGAAATAGAAATAAAAATGAGTAAAGAAGCCAGATATCCAAGTTGTGGTGATTCAAGTGCAAGCTGGCGTGTTAAGACAGCAAGCAGCTGTGCTCCCAGTCACACCTGGACCCTTAAACACATTTGATTAGTCTATCATATGACATACATATGTATATGTGACCATATAATATAAACTGTCACCAGAGCGAATGTGTGTGAAGTCCAGGTGAGGTGTCTGCCCTGATCAATCATTCCCAAAAATATGAAGAGGAAGGCTGGGTTGGGATGAGGGCACAGGCTGGGCTTGTCTTTAATCCTGTCTCGGTTAATGATAGAGGCGGGAAGAGATGAATAAAAAGCAAATAGCCCACTGACCTATATAAACCCCCATAAATCTGTCTGTCCCTACACCACTGCTACCAGTTCTCATTAACTCTCCCCAGATTCCCAGGCTGCTTCAGGTGCTTTGTCCTTTTCCAGGAATGCAAGCTGATGACATTTGCAGGTGGGGATAAGGCATAAATGCTAGCACCTGAAACAAGTTACTTAGTCTTTATTTTTGACTTCTGCAGCAACCATTTACCTCATGCATGGAAAAAAGAGTAAGTTATTTATTTCAGTTAGCAGTGTTTTATCATGGCTGATGTCCTTAGGCTAGTTTCTGCTACCAGTAAATTTAAGTGGAGACTCAAATTCCACAGGACAGACTTAGGAGAGGATTGCATGACCTACAGGTCTTCTCCAGGCTAATTTTTGGAAAAATATGTATGCATTGGGTGATGTGTGACTGCACTGCTAGCTCTGCTTTCCTCAGCTCATCCTCATGCATCAGCTCTTGCTCAGAGCACAGCACCTGGGTGGAGGTAGCATGCAGCTCAGAGAAGTGGTAGGTGAAAGAGGGGGATGGCACAAATCTGCTTCATTGCAATTTGCCCAGGAAGCAGGCAGGTTCCTCGATGGCCAGTACTGAGCAGTATAATTGAATGCAAGTGGTTAAAATGGAAACTCTGGTTGGAGCAAACTTTTTTTTTCTGCTGATGATATGTGCAAAGTAAAGAGAAGAGAGCTAGGAGTTAAGCTCCCTTGGCTGAACAGAGGTGAAAACGGACCGCAGCCTGGCTGGGAAGTGAGGCTCGATGCTGAGGCTGCGCTGGACCTTCCGTACCTCTCCAAAGCTTGGCGGTGGCTGAGGCATCAAACTGAAACATCACAAAGCCTGACCAACAGAGGTTTGGAAGTTGCAGGTGATTTGAACAGTGTCGTATGGGAAAGTTGGTATCTTCTCTATCCTGTTGGAGCATGAGCATTTTGGCTTTTCCTGCTTTATCAAACTGTATTGGCTCTACCCTGTGGCTGCCCAGGAGCTGCTTGCTGAGCAGGAGGGTCTCCTTGGGGCCCTGCCTCCTCCAGGGACCCATGGGCATCCTGGGATGCAGTGTGGGTCAAGTAAGGGAATCATGGCTGTCACATACGCCAATGGGGAGCGTTGGCCATCCTGCATGGAGGCGAGCAGTGCCTGATGCCAGCCCTTCAGCAAAGCGAGGAAAAACCCGCTTTCCCCTGAATTTGGCATCAGTTTCTAAGTCTGTCTCATTTTGCATAACTGTGCTTATTGCTTCCTTTGAAGACCTCATTTTCTCCCAGCATCCTCGTTAATTTGTGCGATAGGTCAAGGTGCTGGCATCTCGGTCCAAGCAGCTGCCCTGTTAGCACCTGATGCTGGATAATAATAATGATTAATGAATCTTAATCTTTCTGTCACAATTCCCTGTCATTAATATTTATATCTGGCAGATGTACCCCCATGGGGGAGCTTGAATTGCCAAGTATTAGTCTGCTATGTACAGCTGGTATTTTATGCAGCAACTTGAGGACGTTCTTCTAAACAGCATATTCTGTGCAATTTTTATTTTCAACTCATTGTTAATATTGCCACGTGTCCGCTTAGAGAAGAGTGTTTATTCTAGGCCCACTGATGAAGTTTAAAAAAAAAAAAAGCCTAAATACTAACATTATCAGGAAAAAAAGAATCTGATATAGAACAAAGATTAAATGCTTAAACAACTGGCACTATCACAGAGGACAAGCTCAACTATGGATATGCTACTGAGTCCCCTAATTACAACAGGGTATAATTTAAAGCATCTTTTGCAGCCAGTGATTTCAAACGTGTACCATTTCCCAGTTAGACGTGTATATTCAACTGTCGAAAAAAAAGTCTTATATAGCACTTCTGGAAGAACAAATGTTCAATTAAATGATCTAATTGAGTTCTTATAATTGGGTTGAAGTCTGTTTATAACTAATTCATAACACAGCATCTTTAGACAAATAATTGATTGGTAATTACTCTGTGAAAACAAATTAATCGCTGTGCTTCCAAAACCATGATCCTCTAGCCACACACTG